TAGAACAGTATGTGAACTGCCCAACAAGCCTTCAATGGCTTTGTAAATTTAAAAAGAAGAAAGGAGAACATTGTCTTGTGCATCGAATTTCTGGATCAGCAAACTTAAACCAGTGTTCCCAACTGCAAAATAACTAGCAACACTATCAAGTAGTGAGGCTCACAAAAAAGTAGCTTCTTCAGCTGCTTCCGCCGGTCATGCAACACTCGCTTGCAAGTCATACTAGTCCCCAAGGATCAACTTTATAGCAGCAGAGACAAAAAAGTTGACATGCTCCTCAACATGGCAAAGAAAGTAAGATTTTTCCCACTGGTCACACAAATGACACAATTTTCCATGATGTCATAGCACCACAAAACCCAGTCAAATCATACCAACACTACTAGAATCAATTCCCTTTTACCTATGTCCATCAGGGATTAATGGCCATAAAGGTATTTAGAAATCATGTGGGGGGAAAAGCATTCCTTGGAAGGTTCAAATGTTTTCTGAAGAATCACAGTAGATGATGTACAAGGTTCCATGATAATGAGATGCTAAAATTTTAACAAAGTGGCTTTCTCAAAAGCTTCAGTATACCATGAATTTCTTAGTAGAGGCGGTCAGTACATATACAAATGAGTGAACTAACTGCATTATATCACCGCTGATCACTACTTTTGGGACTCCACAACACTAGTGAACGGGTGCACCATTTTCAGCTGAGCTGTGCTTTACTTCCTCATTAAAAGTATATTCCAAGTGAACTGTTCCAACTGAAGACAGTGAGAATCAAAGCTGAACATCAGGTTGTATGAAGGTAATGACTGACTTTCATCTAAGGGGAAAAAGTGAACAAAATGGATAATCAGTGACTATAACATTTGATTCCAATCAGGAAGCTGTGTCGAGTGTTTATTTCCAACTATTTTGACCTATCAACAATATTGAACTAAGGGGGCACACACCTGCACACCTACATCTCAAAATAAATGTCCTTTAAATGGCAGGCCAATAAAATGACGCTAGCCTGAGATGTGGAGTGTGTTAATATAAAACAAATGACTAATTCATATGCTTATATTTAAAAACGTGTAATGCAAATTATTACTCACATATTCAAGGGCTGCCACCTGAAGCTTGACCAAGAGGAACATGGAAAAGGGCTGGACCCTGAAGCAGCCTACAAAGGGCCAAGGGATGGGTGCAACACTAGGAAGCATCATACTCCTGCCAGGGTGCAAGTAGTTTTCAGGTCTTCTGTATCTAATGAGTATAAATATGCGATTCAGTGGTCACTTTACCGAAGCTCATATACCAAGTTTTGGCTTTAGCATAGTCAACACACACTAACAATATACGGCAATATAAGCTGCTAACCTCACCACATTGAGAGCTATGCTAAAATCGCTAGCATGCTAATATTGGTGTCGAATTGTACAGTGGTACAAACACGTGCATGTATTTACCTTATGTAACTCCTCAAGCAGGTGGTTTAACTCTGTGTTAACCAAAGTTACAGACCTAACCTAACCGTATTCTCATTATTCCAACTTCAACAGTGTTCACCTGCCTGTCATGCAGTATAAAAACCCACCCCCTCCACCTTTTCAGTGACAGGTGACTGGGTTGAACGTCTATAAAACCAATATAATTAACTAAATGTCTGGACTTGTTTTAACAGTGAATTATCATACAGCCACACTGCATTCCTTGTTAGCAGAAATAGGTTTTGTAGTAACTTTATTGACAGTAAACAATCAACTAAGTACCTGTGGTTGGAACGCTTCCTGTTTCCGGTTTTAAATTAAATATTTTCAAGAAAACATTTTAAAACTTGTGCTTTCATCTGCATTTATTTTCTTATTTGTTTCTGTCTACAAAAAAAAAAAAAAAAAAAGTTTGACGAGGCTACACCAAGCGGATAACACCTAGATTATGAACTAAAGTTTCCAGTAAAACTCCCCTTCTGTTATTTATTTCCACCTGGACCATTAACAGTTACACAGCTTTTAATTAACTCAGTTTAGACTTTCTTTTTTGCAGCAACCCCTATATGTTATATACAGCAAAGCATATATATGGCCTGGCTTGAAACATCCCAGGAATACAACTTTTTGAAAGAGCAACACTTTTATTGTCCCATTCACATTATAATCTGGGTTATTAACATGCTGTGCTGTAGAAAAACTCCAGCCTAAAAGTGCTCTAATTGCTTTAACAATGCTTTTAATGTCATTGATTTTTAAGCCTTGATTGCTCTTGCTAGCTGCAACAATTTATTTGACTGGATTTAAAGGCCAGTTGCACCCTGGTTATTTTGTTTTGTTTTTTTTTTAGTTTGTGAACTCAAATTGCATGGGCACAAAGTTAAATGTGTGTATCACAACTTAATGACTAAGGAGAAGGCTGACTCAGCAGGGAATCACTGCTTTAGACAATATTATGCCATCATCATTGAACAAGGGATCAGTGAGAGAGCGTAAGGGACTGGGGAATGTTTGTTAGTTAATGTCTAGGGGGTAGGTAAATGGTGCGGCAGAAACTTTGACTGAAAACCTTGCACAGCAATAAAGTGATATACACATGAATAATGTAGGAGCATTTAGTTCAGTGCTTAGGCAGCGGGGGAATCAGATGGCCCTGGTGCTCCGAAGGATTCCAGTCTATTGAGCCAGCGTCTCTGGTCTACAATAGGCCAACACAAACCTATAGCAGAATCCTAGTGCTCCACTGTCCTGCTAGGGCACAGGCACAAAAACATAAGACACACATTCACTGCAGAGTTTGCACACAGACTTGCATTAGTGACTATATACGCACAGCTTCAGCCACCAGGCCTCACATAAATGCGCACATACTCAAATATACAACTTCCATCATCACCACACACACAAGTCAAGTCAAGATTTTTATTTGCCATTTATGCATAAACAGACAGTCTAGGCATATAGGAATTCTCAAGCAAACACAACCGCACACTCACTCTTCACTCTCTTGTGTTTGTTTTCTGTTAGTAAAGGAAAATAATTATATAAACAAAATAACTCACTGTGTGTGTGTGTGCATCTGGACATTTTCAAGACAGCAACTGATTGTATCACGTTAAGAATGTCAGTGATGACATCACACATAAATGGCGGACTATGTGTGTAGAAAGAGGCTCTGAATAATTGCAGAAACATCGGCTTAGTGTCATCTTTGCTTTTAGGAACTTGTGGGATTTGGGGTTTAAGAATAAATGTGGAGAGTAAGTGACTAAGGGACTATAGAAGTAAATGGGCCAGACTTTGAGTGTTAATTTCACAGAAATGCAGAGTAGATTTCATTTTGTCATCTCAGCTGCTCAAAGAATCAACTAATGACTAATTCATTACTGCAAATATACAAACCTAATTATTTGTTTCTTCTTTCCTTGCATATTCTCTTTTCGCTGTCATTCAAAGAAATAAAATGCTGTCATCATTTATTGGTTTTAAAGAGTAGCACATCAAATCCCTCAGCATCACATCCTTCATTAATGTGGTGGCAATTATTTTGTACTTTTGCTTCTCAGTCAGTCTTTGGGCACAGGGTGTTTGTGTGGTGGTGGGTGTGCCTGCATGTGTGTTTAATGTGTTGACACCTTCATTATTTACCAGCTTTGCCTCAGTATTAAACCCTTTGATTTCCGCTCAGCCGATGCAAATGAGGCCAGGAGAGCATCACCTCTGTAACATAGGCAGCTCCTCATTTGCTGCCAGCGACAGTGAGGCGCAGACAGGGGTGGAGTTGTTCTTCACAGAGGAATGGTAATTCACCAATCAGCGAGGTGACATGCTCTGGCAAAAGAAGGAAGAGCCACACAGCGCTGACAGGGACATCAGTTTCACCAAACATTTCCTCCTCTGCACCTGAAAGAATGGCATAATCACTCGCAGGGGGCGATGCACCATGAAATGGAATGGCCGCCCGGATTCGGGGGAGTGGACACAGTACCGTGTCCAAAGAAATGAGAGTCATTCTTTACCCAGAGATGCCAGTGTCAGTAGAAAAACACTGCAGATCCAGGTCAGGCAGTCACACAGGCAGCTTCATAATACAGGCCCGTGTCAAATTTTTATTTTTGACTTGAATGATGCAACAAATCAACATCTGAAAGGGGCACTGTATCAGTGTGTTATTTTGTGTCTGTATCAGTTTCAAATTCAAGCATTAGCAGGATTTTTGACAATGGGAGTACTGTTCATTTCAACAGCATGTCAGGTGAATCTGAAGAAATTATAGACTGAACGGTTTCTTGAATTAAAATAGACACCGTACAGTATCTGCCATTGTTGCACAAAATGTCTTGTGTACAGTATGCTTTTGTGGGTATTCGCTTGTTTTTCTATCTCGCCCCCCAGCAGATCATGCATATTGTAACAAATGTGTGCCAAGTGAGATAAGAAATAACTGCATCTAATAGACTTCGCTCCCAGATAAAGTTCAGCCCAGCCAAAATAAATAAACAAACAAATAAAAAACGATCTGAATCCTCAAACTAGTGCCTTTCACTATCTAGCAGATGTATCAGTGTTCCTCCAAGCAATCAAGAAGTAATTCCCTTTATCGGCAAACATGAATATTAAAGTTTTGCGCTAGAGGGATCGAGAGTATAAACATTGCTGTCACCAGCACCTGTCAGGGACTATGGCGAATAGTTGACAAGGCAAATCAGTGGCTCACACTGCAATAGCATGGCTGTAAAGATACCAGTAGTG